AATCTATTTGGGAATTTGGGGGCCTCTTGAATCTAGATGTGTATTTCTCTTCCCAAGTTTGGGGATTTTTCAGCTATTATTGCTTTAAATATACTGTTATGTCCTGTGTCATTTCTCCTTCTGAAATTCCCATTGCGAATATTTGGGGGGGCCCTGGCCAGGTAGCTCAGTTGTTTTTAGATCTGTTCCAATTTGCCAAGGCTGTAGATCCCATCCCATCAGAGCACATACAAGAAGCAACCAGTGAATGCATAAATAAGTGGAAGAACCAAATGATGTTTCTCCTCCTTTACCCCCTTTTCTCTAAAACTCAATAAAATTTTCTAAAAATAATTTTTTAATTGTGTCCCATTAGTTCCATAGGTTTTCTGCACTCTTTTTCATTATTTTCTTTTTGCTCCGACTGGATAATTTCAAATGTCCTATCTTTTGGGTCACTGGTTCTTTCTTCTGCATGATTAAATCTGTTCTTGAAGCTCTCTCTTGAATTCTTCAATTTAATTATTATATTTTTCAGGTTTTGGGGGGGGGGGTGTTTCAATGGTTTCTATTTGTTTTGTTCATGCAGTGTTTTCCTAATTTTATTTAATCTGTATATTCTTTTAACTCAATAAACTTCTTTAAAAAATTGTAGAACTCTGTTTCTTTAGGGTCAATTTTTAGAGATTTATTAGTTTTCTTTAGGGTTGTCATGTTTATGATGTATGCGTACGTGTGTGGGGCGGTGAGAAAGAGAAAGAGAAGATAAAAGAGAGGAGAGAGGAGAGAGGAGAGAGGAGAGAGGAGAGAGGAGAGAGGAGAGAGGAGAGAGGAGAGGAGAGAGGAGAGAGGAGAGAGGAGAGAGGAGAGAGGAGAGAGGAGAGAGAGGGAGAGGGAGGGAGAGAGAGAGAGAGAGAGAGAGAGATCCTGATTCCTTAGTTGGTATCTATACATTTAAGTGGTCACCTCTCCCAGACTTTGCAGGTTTGTGTTGGGAGCGTTTCACTCATCAGCCTAGCCTGGGTCTCGGGATGTGTCTGCTGGTAGTGTCCTTGAGCAGACGGAGTCCACTGTTAAGAGTCTATCCAGAGCAAGGTAACTGTTTGAGCCCCGAGATCAGATGCGGGGTGTGCCACCGGCTGAGAACAGGCTGCTGGCTTGGCTTGCTGCCCCCATGAGGCCCTAGGATGAGCTCCGTGGCTGGCAGAATTCTCCATCAGCCTTCCTGGATGGTCAGGCCTGGGTGGGGCTGGGAAGTATCTTCCCCGCCCTGGCAGGACAGCAGGACAGCACCCAGGGCCTGCGTGGCTCATTGTTTGGGGAGCCAATTAGGCAAGAGTGTGCACTGAATATCCTGGTCATGGAGCGCCTTCCCCCCCCCTCTCTCTCTCTGTCACGCACACACACACCATAAACTTGACACCTGAAGACGGGAAGATAGTCTCTGATCCAGTGCCACTGGAGGCAGGGCTGTCGGAGGGCTGTGCAGCCTGTGGGCTCTGGTGAGGCTCCCCGGGCAGGTGGCTGAGTGCTTTATTCGGCTCTAAATGGGGCTACAAATCCGTGTCCCAGCCTGGGAGCAGCAGCAGCTCCAAGGCCGCTGAGGCTCTTTGTGGTCTTGACTTAACTGAATCATCCCCACCTTTCCCAGCCAAAAGGGCAGCAGGCTTTGCTCTGGGGCAGTAGCCCTGCCCACCCCCCTCCCTGAGCAAGCCTTGCTGGGTTCCACTTCTCACCAGCCCTTCCTGTCGGAGGGGCCAGGAGCTGGCCCCCAGCTACTGAGGCTGTGACTGGGCATGGGCAGTCCGGGCTCCAGGGCCAGCAAAAAACCCTTGTTTGAGGACCCCAAGCCCCCAGTCTGACTACACCAGCACCTCATCTCTGCACACAAGTAAAGCCACTGATAGGATGACTACTCCAGCCTGCAGGTTGGAACCTGGTCTGCCGAGTCCAAGGCCGGGTGCTGGGAGCCCGTCCCCTTCTCCGTCACAATCACTTCCCGGTGGCCAAGCCCCACGTCCCCTGCAACTCGTCTGGCAAAACCGGAGCAGGGCTCCCAGCACGTGACCCCAGGCTCCCTGTTGCCTTTGGAGGAACCACAGGCTCAGGGGAGACGCCTTGGTGTGCGACGCTGTCAGCCTGTGGCCACTGCGTCTCTGGTGCTGGTCTCACTGTGAACAGTGTCAGCTCCTTCTCTCACAGGGGAGGTCAGGAAAAACACGTTGCCCTCTGGTGACATGGCTCCCTCACGCGGTGCTGAGCGGTCCTGAGGACGCGCATGGAGTAATTCTGTAACCCTCACACAGCTTTATAAGCCACTGCTAACCCGCTGGACAGACGTTCACATCGAGGCAGAGAATGAGGCGGGAGCCCTTGCCTGTTTCCTGCCTCCTGCTTCTAGCCCACAAGTGGACTCACCATGCTGTTCCATACCCACCCCCACCCCAGCAGACACGCTCTTCTTCATGATGCACTGCCCTCCCGGGGCCTCTGTGGACACCTGCTGGGTAGCAGCCTCGGCGGAAGTGCAGGCATGTGGATTGGAGACGCCAGGAACTGAGGTACCCACCGGGCTTCCAACTATCAGGACATTGTGACAGCCACACTTCCCATCGCCACTGAGAGAGCTGGCGTGGGACTGGCTGCCCCACCCAGCACCCCTCCCACCCAACTCCCCTCCCACCCAGCACCCCTCCACTGCCCAGCACCCCTCCCACCCAACACCTCTCCACCCAGCACCCCTCCCACCCAACACCTCTCCACCCAGCACCCCTCCCACCCAACTCCCCTCCCACCCAGCACCCCTCCCCTGCCCAGCACCCCTCCACTGCCCAGCACCCCTCCCACCCAACACCTCTCCACCCAGCACCCCTCCCACCCAACTCGGCTCCCACCCAGCACCCCTCCACTGCCCAGCACCCCTCCCACCCAACTCCCCTCCCACCCAGCACCCCTCCACTGCCCAGCACCCCTCCACTGCCCAGCACCCCTCCACTGCCCAGCACCCCTCCCACCCAACACCTCTCCACCCAGCACCCCTCCCACCCAACACCTCTCCACCCAGCACCCCTCCCACCCAGTACCCTTCCCCCTCCCGGAACCTCTTCCTGCCTGGGCACCCCTCCCTAGCCTGGCACCCCTCCCAGCCCAGCAGCCTCCCCCCACAGCACCCTCCCCACCCAGTACCCCCCCTCCCAGAACCCCTCCCCAGCCCAGCCCTGCCTCAGGCTCTGAATGAGGGTACTCCCCACACTGCAGAACCCTCCCTGAAGCTGGGGGGCCCCTGCCTCATCCCTGGACATGGATTCAGGCCGAGCTTTGGACCAAGAGGGCACTCGCTCGGGCCACAGAGCCAGGAGGTGTCCTAAGGCCAGAGCATCCTTCTCACCGCGGCCGGCCGTCCTGTGTGGCGCTCCGGCAGCCGAGGGGTGGGGCGGATTACCTGAGGGAGTGCTGCTCCGGGAGGAAGCGGTCCACGGCTCTCAAAGGGCTCTGGGGGGCCTCTGCTCCGGGGTCAGGCCTCGGCCCTCCTGCAGCGGGAGGAGCAGCCTGCTCTGTCCTCCCATGAAATCTCCGGGAGGGGCTGATCCCTTTGTGGCCGCCCAGGAGGCACGGATGGCCTGGACGGAGCGGCTTCTGCCCCATCTGAGCACCGAGCCCGGGACATGCAGCTTATTCAAAACCAAGGTCCTTTAAAACCGTTTCTCAGACTCGGCCTGGAAGTTTCCAAACCAGCTCCCGGCTCCGCCGCACCTGCCACCTGCTCACTCGGACAGCTCGGTGCTCCCGGCCTCCGGTCAGACCAGTGGGCGCTGAGCGCCAGCACAGGCTCAAGGCTCCCCAGCAGCGAGGGGAAGCCCTGGGGGAGGGGGGGGTGTCTGGGAGGCCTGAAAAGGTGCCTGTAAACCTTGGCGGGAGGGGGCTTACTCAGCTGGAAGCCACCTCCCTCCTGGGACCCGTCTGCACCCGCAGAAGGCGAGGGGAAGACGGAGTGGCTGAGGTAGGGGCAGGAGTGCGGTGGCTGGAACCTGGCTCTCGGAGACACACGGGCCTGAGTGACGCTGAGCTGTGGCCATTTACCCTCTCTGAGCCTGTTTCCTCATCTACAAAACAGCGCCCACCTTATCGGGTAAAAGGACCGCACGAGGCAACACGAACAGCACTGGCATCCAGGTGCCCCGGAAGGCTCCCACTTTCTCCCCTCCCTCCTCCAGAGTGAGTGGCCCGGGCCCACAGGAGCCGGGTCAGTGCGCATGCTCGCCTTGAAGCTGGTTTTCCTCTGCAAACCCATGGCACAGGCCACCTCACGCTGGCTCCGAGCACGTCTGCTGCTGCAGACCCAGGAGCGGTGTTGTGTGGGTGTTCACACCCCTGGAGGGGGGTGCCCCCCAACTGCCTGCTTGGCCTCCCAGGGGGGTGGGACAGGAGGAGGAAGGGAGCGGTGGCGGTCAGCACCTCCCAAGGCCGGTCAGCACCTCCCAAGGCCGGTCGGCACCTCCCAAGGCCGCAGCAGGGGCCAGGGGCTCCAGGGCACAGGGCGGGGCAGGATCTGCCTGGTAGGGAGCTTAGCTACTTGCTCCAGGACCCCGCTCTTAAAGGGGCCAGAGCCTCGATTTCCTCGCCCCTAGGAACGAAGATGGCAATCCCCGCATCACTAGTGTGTTGTGATCACTTCAGCTTCCTAGACATGCTGTGAACATTAACACACGTTGTGGTGGTGGTGTTAATCCTCCCCAGAAGATATTCTCCCATTAGTTTTTAGAGAGAGCAGAAGAGAGAGGGAGAGACAGAGAAACATCGACGTGAGAGAAACACATCCACTGGTTGCCTCCTGCACGAGCCCCAACCAGGTTCCGAGGAGGAGCCTCAACCAAAGTACATACCCTTGACCGGAATTGAACCCGAGAGCCTTTGGTCCACAAACTGATGCTCTACCCACTGAGCTACAGTGGCCAGGGCTCCTTCTTGTTCTCACGAGGGAGGAGGCAAGGCCCAGAGGACACACGCACACAGCGGCCGTGTAGAAAATGGGCCAGCAGGTTTAATGGAGGCACAAACGGGCTTGTTACAGAGATGGGGCGACGCGTACGCTAGTCCCGTAGGATCAGCCACGGAACACGGGCTTGTTCTGTGTGGCAGACTGAGCCGAGCCGCAGATGAAGAAAAAGCATCGGTCTCCGTTTCCTAGTCCATGACTAAGAGGTCCGAGGAGGGAGAGGGAGGCTCGGTCTCCGTGCACTAGAGGCCAGGGCAGCACCACAGCGTTCCGGATAAGAACGGCCTGACACAGATGTCAGAGGACGTGTCGGGGGACCCCCGGGGCCGCTGGTGAGAGGGTGCAGGGGCTGTGCAGATCGGGCTGAGCAGGGGGCACAGTAGAAAACAGAGACAGAAACAGCACGGGGCACACCCCGGGTGAAGGGCGGGAGGCCCTGAGCCTGCCAGCTTCCCGGGCAGCTGTCGTCAGCTGTGTGCGGAGACCTGAGAAGCACGGGAGGGCTCCGGGCGGAGCCAGCAAAGGGCAGGGGCCCTGGGGACAGCACAGTGCGGCCGAGGGAAAGGCTGGGCCCAATCCTGAGACAGTCAAAGGAGAAACAGAGAACTCAAAAAAGGGGATGTTTTAAAAAAGGGGGGAGGAAGGAGGAGAAAGGAAAGGAACGGCCTGAGCTCAGGCGCTGAGGTTCTGGAGAGACAGCGTCCCAGGCGCAGGCACCAGAGCTGGGGCGCGGGGCCTGCTCAGGGAGGACGGCCGGATGTCTCACTGCGGCCCGGCACCAGCGCCTGCGGTGCCCGAAGGGGCGTGTCCTCGCAGGCTCAGACGTCCCGGTCAGCCCGCAGTCCGCTCTGGTCACTGCAGGGCGCACTGCCCTCAGATCTGCCATCCTCTCCACAGCCCGCTTCCCCCGAAGATCTCCGTCCGAGGCAGCGGCAGGCCCCCCTCGGCCGGGGAGATGCGGGGCCACACCGCTGGGCCTCAGCAGCGGTGCACCTGCAGCCTGTTGTTCTCGTCCAGGCTCAGCTGCAGGAGGCCCGGCGCTGCTGGTGTGGGCACTAAGCACAGAGGCCTGGCCACCAGGTGAAGGAGAACTGCGCACAGCTGAGCACCAGGGAGGCCAGGGAGGAGGGGAGGGAGGAGAGGAAGGAAGGGCCAGGGGAGGAAGGGCAGGGGAGGAGGGGAGGGGAGGAAGGGGAGGGGAGGAAGGAGGGGAGGAAGGGGAGGGGAGAGAAGAAGGGGAGGGGAGGAAGGGGAGGGGAGGAAGGGGAGGGGAGGAAGGGGAGGGGAGGAAGAGGAGGGAGAGGAGGAAGGGGAGGGGAGGAAGGGGAGGGGAGGAAGGGGAGGGGAGGAGGAGGAAGGGCAGGGGAGGAAGGGCAGGGAGGAAGGGGAGGGGAGGAGAGGGAGGAAGGGGAGGGGAGGAGGGCAGGGGAAGAGGGCAGGGGAGGAAGGGCAGGGAGGAAGGGCAGGGAGGAAGGGGAGGGGAGGAAGGGCAGGAGAGGAAGGGGAGGGGAGGAAGGGAGGGGAGGAAGGGCAGGGAGGAAGGGGAGGGGAAGGAAGGGGAGAGGAAGGGGAGGGGAGGAAGGGGAGGGGAGGAAGGGGAGGGGGGAGGGAGGGAAGAGAGGAAGGGCAGGGGAGGAAGGGACAGGGGAGGAAGGGCAGGGGAGGAAGGGAGGAAGGGCAGGGGAGGAAGGGCAGGGGAGGAAGGGAGGAAGGGCAGGGGAGGAAGGGAGGGGAGGAAGGGGGAGGGAGGAGGGGAGGGGAGGAAGGGCAGGGGAGGAAGGGGAGGGGAGGAAGGGGAGGGGAGGAAGGGGAGGGGAGGAGAGAGAGGAAGGGGAGGGGAGGAAGGGAGGGGAGGAGGGCAGGGGAGGAAGGGCAGGGGAGGAAGGGAGGGGAAGAAGGGCAGGGAAGGAAGGGGAGGGGAGGAAGGGCAGGGGAAGAAGGGGAGGGGAGAAAGGGGAGGGGAGGAGGGGAGGGAGGAAGGGAGGGGAGGAAGGGGAGGGAGGGAAGGTAGGGGAGGGAGGGGAGGGGAGGGAAGCAGGGAGGAAGAGGAGGGGAGGAAGAGGGAGGGAAGGAAGGGGAGGGGAGGAGGGGAGGGGAGGAAGGGGAGGGAGGAAGGGCAGGGGAGGAAGAGGAGGGGAGGAAGAGGAAGGAAGGAATTGGAGGGGAGGAGGGGAGGGGAGGAAGGGGAGGGGAGGAAGGGGAGGGGAGGAAGGGCAGGGGAGGAAGGGCAGGGGAGGAAGGGAGGAAGCCAAACAAGATAGTCCTCGGACCCCCAGGACCTTAACAGCCGCAGCCCAGCTCAGCACCGGCTACAGCAGGAAGGGGCGCGGGCTGGAGAGCCGGCTGAAAGGATATAATGTGGGGTCACTCCTGTAGCGGTCCAGCCACCGCCGGTTAGCCTCGATCATGCCCTGCAGACCGGCACTGCCCGCCTCAGGGGCGTGCGAGAGGGGGTGCTGCAGGAGGCGGAGCTGCTCCCTGGAGGAGGAGGCAGGCCGGAGGCCGGGGAAGCCTGTGACTTGGGCGCACAGGAGCACAGGCCCCTTCCTCCGACGTCAGCTCCAGGCTGGGCTGTGGGGCTGCTGCAGCTACGCAGCTCGCCCACTGGCAGGAGGCCCTGGGACTGCCTCCCCCAGCTGGTACTCCTGACACCCACACTGTGGGCTCCGCAGATCCTGGCCCACCTCAGCGTCCCCTCCCACTGGTCAGAGGGGTGGGGGTGCTAATAGCTGGGGCCTGTGTGGGAGACACGTGGCAAGAAGGCTGTGAGAAACGCTGGCCCATGTGTCTCCCCAACAGGGCGCCCCTCCTCCAGATGCTCCTCGCAAAGACAGAGGCCCGCTCCAGGCGGAGCTGGAGGGCTGCGGAGGGCCGTGCCAGGGGCTGCCAGGGCTGCTTCCTCTCATGAGGGCACTTCCTCATGGAGCTGGGCTCCAGGACTCTCCTCTGCGGTGTGGAGGGGCGGCTGGGACCCAGGCCCACCGGAGCCCCAGGGCTGCCACCCTCAGAGGTGGTGCCAGAGCTGCAGGGAGTCTTACCTGGCAGACACGTAGCCCAGCCTGTTCTCCAAGGGGGCAGGGCTGCTGCAGAGGCCGGGGCTCCCAGCTGGGAAGCAGGAAGCAATGGCTCAGGACAGGGGCCAGCCGACCCTGCTCCCCAACACCTCCGCCTCCTCACAACAGAAAAGGCAGCCCCCCCACAAAGAGACCCGCCCGGGGAGGCCTGCAGCAGCGGGAAGTGCAGGTGGGAGACGAGTCACCCTGCCCATTTCATCTCCAAAGTGGAGCCCACTTTTGTCTCCATTTCCAGTCGCCTCGATTCCCAGTCAGGGCACCTGCTGGGTTGCAGGCTTGACTCCCAGCGTAGCGCATGCAAGAGGCAGCCCATCCAAGTTTCTCTCTCATTGATGTTCTACCTCGCTATCCCTCTCCCTTCCCCTCTCTCTGAACATCAGTAAAAACATTTTTAAAAAACAAATGACAACCGCGGAGGGGATAGGCCTAAAGCACACGTGTCAAACACAAGGCCCGCGGGCCAAATCCGTCCCGCCAGGCCTTGCAATGTGGCCCGCACCACGCTGTCATCACTGCACTCCGCTGCGTTTCCATCACAATGACAGTTTATGACTGTTCAGCAAACCATTCGGCCCGCGATGTAGGCTGGATTTTAGATTTTGGCCCCTTCTCTGATTGAGTTCGACACCCCTAGCCTAAAGGAAAGCTTTACGTGAAACACCGGCTAAGGCACAGCTCCCGGGCGCTCCTGATGGTGAAGACGACAGCCGCCATTCTGTGCGCTCAGGAGCCACCAGGCCCCAGGGGCCCACCGAGCCGGTGCTGGCCCGGCCAGGCTGCTTCCCCAGGGGCCAGCCAGCGGAGCAGTGACCCAAAGCTGAGAGGAGGGGGAGGGGAAGAAAGCAGAGGAGGAGGGGAGGCTGGGCCCAGAGTGCCGGCAGGCGGCCGAGGAAGCTCACCTGGGAAGTACTTGCGCCACTTCTCCACCAGGAAGTCATCCACGGCCTGCGTGGCGGAGGCGGAGGAGAGCCGGGGGCCCAGCCCCGGGTCCCAGGCCCACTGGGTGGGGGTCCCCCGGACGGAGGGGGGCGGGGGCGGCTGCGGTGGAGGCGGAGGCGGCGGGGTGCTGAGGACCCCCAGCAGGCTGAGGACCTGGTGCAGCTGGCTGCTGATGCTCTGCAGGGAGCTGTCCAAGCACCGGAGCTTGTGGGGGAAGGCGGGGCCGGGCAGAATGCCTGAAAGGGAAAAGGCAGGAGGTGAGGACCCAGGCCCCGCGGGCACCGCGGCTCGGCGGAGGGAGGGCCCTGTTCCTGCCAGAGCCGGAGTGGCTCCTCCTCACCAGCACCCGCTGAGGACCTGCTCAGACACGGCTCCCAGAGGCCCTCACGGCGCCGAGGAGGGGTGGCCGGCTTCCCTCTCCGCCGAAGCCCGTCCTTCCCCAGCCGCCCTCCCGCTCCTCCCTGCGGCCACCGCTCACCCTGAGGCAGGGGACAGGAGTCTGAGCTTCCACTGTTCGTGTCTTCCGAGTCGCTGAGGTCAAAGGTCACCACCTTCTTGGTGGGGGGCCCTCTCAGAGTGTCCCCATCCAGAGCCTGCGGGTAGAAGCAGCAGCTCTGCTGGCCTCGCCTGCGCCTCTGCCCACTGGCTTTGTGCTGGACGGCCCTCCCCCCTCCCCGGGCGGCTCTTTGGGCCGGGTTCCTGAGGGCACTCCTGCGGCTGCCTCGCCGGTGGGGGTTGTCGGGGGGGCCCTAACAGAACTCACCAAACCCACCTGAGACGCAGGCAGGCAGGCCACCAGGCCCAGGCTGATGCCCACCCTCTGTCCCCCAGTAAACTCGCCCTGCAGGGTCTCCCCACCCTCCCAGGGCGTCTCCTCCCGGAACACCAGTCCTCAGGCTCCGCGGCCGGGGAAGGGCCAGGGCCAGATCCTCTCCCAAGAAGCTTCAGCAAGGAGCTCCGGGTCTCAGAGCCACGCAGCACAAATAACCCAAACCCAAGCTGAAGGCACGCCGTTCCCCGCCCGGAGCCCTCCCGGCTGCACGGCCAGGGCTCACCTGGGCCCGCAGAGAGGCCTCCAGCTCGCTCAGCTTCTCCTCCTTCCTCTGCAGCAGGCTGCGGCCTCTCCGCATGGCAGACTGCATCTCGCCCAGGTGCCGGGCCTCCTGCAGCCAAGGCGGGGAACCTGAGTGACCCACCGACGCTGGGCCCAGCTCGCCCTCTGCTCGCTGGGTTACCGTGGAAACTCACTTCGCTCTCAGTCTAGATTCTCATCCCAGAGAACGGCTCTGTTCATCCCGGAGCTCACCTGAGCTACGGTACGTCACCGGGGGCGCTGGGCGTGAAATCAGAGGCGCTTACTGCCCTCTTCCCCCAGCAAACGGGGTAACGCTGCCCCCAGCACATCACCTGCGGTTCCTGGGAGGCCAGGCGGTTCCATCAGAGCGTCCTGCACCCGGTGCCCAGCTCGCGAGAATCTCCACCCCCCGCCCACAGCCCAGAGCCTCAGACTGGGCATCCGCCCTCGTGGGTCCCCACATGAGCAGTGGAGGGCACAGCCGGCTCCCAGCCGCCCTCCCCGGGCCCAGGCTGTCCTCCAGGCTCGGACCTCCTCCAGGCTCTTGTGCACGTCGCCGCCCAGGGCCTTGGTGCCCAGCAGGTCCTCGGGCGCCTCCGGAGCGGCCAGCTCGCGGCCCCAGTGCTGCTGCGCGGCTTTCAGGGCCGCCTGCCGCCGGCGCATGGAGCGTGTCTGTCGCACCAGGAAGGCCTTGGCGCTGCGGAGGGCGGCCCCCTCGGCGGAGAGGTAGTGCCGGAAGCTGATGGGAACAGGCGGGGGAGGGGTGAGAGGGCCTCAAAGACTCCAGAGCCTGCTCTGGGCCACTCCAGGCTGCTGGCAGACAGGCACCCTGAGCAGAATGTGGGCTGGGCGGGGTGGGGTGGGGCGGGGCGGGGCAGGGCTGCCGAGGATAGGAACCCCACTGTCCCGTCAGCCTGACCCTCACCCAGGCATCAGCAGATGCCAGCCTGCCGTGCCCACAGTCCAGGCGGGCACCGACTTCCCTGAGCCATGCCCACAGATGACTGCCATGACTTCGCTTCACCCGGCCGAACCCCAAACAGGACAGGCCATGGACGCACCTGTCCAAGGACGAGTCGGCGGCCTCCGGGCTCGGGGAGACAGCAGGGGGTGCCTCGTTGGTCTGCTTCTGAAGACACAGGAAAACCCGCTGACCAGGCCAGCAGGGGCACGCAATCTCCAGGCCTGAAACCCTCCCAGAGCCAACACCCCGGCCTGCTGAAGGGGTGCACTGTTCACCGAGACCCTCCGACTACGGACGTGGGGGACAGGAAGAACAGGAGCGGAGCCCCGCCCCTCCTGGGGTCCCGCCCCCCGACGCCCCAGCCACCCTGTCCCTGCGGAGGCCAGAGCCGCTCGCTCACGGTGCCAGGGGCTGTCCTCAGGTCCTCGATGTGGAGGGCGGGCTCACGCGAGGGGGAAGCACGGCCCGCCTCGGCCGCCAGCCCTTTCAGCGCCTCCTGCCTCCTCTGAGCTCCGGCCTGCAGCTCACTGCGGGCGGGGGTGCAGGAGGTGAGCGCTGGCGGGCTTGGAGCCCCACCCTGATGGGAAGGAAGACCATCTCCATCCCTCACTCCCGGCGAGCCCCTGCGGCAGCGCTGGGGCTCACACAGTGAGACCAGGACCCCAGCCGCTCCCGCCTCCTCACCCCCCTCACCCCTACAACAGGCAGCAGAGCCTGGCTCCAGCCCTGCCTGGGACAGACAGGCCGAGCAGCGGAGCCAGAGGGCACCCACCTGATGCGTTTCTGCAGCGCCTGGGCCTGGGCCTGCAGCTGGTCCACCTGGGCCTCCAGCTCCCGCTTGAGGGCCCGCAGCTCGCCCAGAGTTCTCCGGAGCTGCCGGTTCGACTCGAGCAGGTGCGTGTGCTCCTGCTTGGCCTCGTCCAGGTGCTGCTGGGTGGCTGTGGCTTCCTGGGCAGAGGGAAAGACAGAGGCACCTGGAGAAAGAGGGGGCGAAGGCAGGGAGCCGGGAAGCCCCAGGACAGGGCCCGGCGGGGCCCCCACACCGAGGTCCTCCCCGCTCCTGCCAGCCCCTCTCCCTGGCATCTGGTGCTGGCTTCCCCACATGGGGCTGCTGGTGGAATAGCCCCAGGCCCTGCAGAGACCCCGTGAACAAGAGGTGGAGGTGAGGAAGAGAGGGAGGCCAGGTGAGGAGGCCACTGCCTCTTCAGGCCCACAGCTGCCTCTCCTGGGCAGCCTCCTCCTGCGGGAGGGGACGAGCCGCAGGGCGCAGGGGCAGAAAGGCCCATCCTCTCTTGGGGGAACCATGTCTCCAAGGTCAAGGGCACCTGGGGACCCTCCACCCCCACTCCCTCACCTGAGCGTCCAGCTGAGCCAACCTGGCCTTGACCTCTTTGGCTCTGGTTTCCAGCTCCACCTCTAAATCTTGAAGTTTCTTTTCCTGCACAGAGCAAAGGCAGAGAAAAAGATGTACGTGCAGAAACGGTGCGAGGCCTTAGCTGAGGGGCAGGAGGGGTCTGACCCCAAGCCATGGCACACCTCCAGATGGGCTCCCGCTCCCTGCCAAGAGCCCACCTCTTGTTTGTGCCCAGGGTGGGCCAGGAGCAGCAGAGGTGCCAACCCCAAGGTCCTAGTGGGGCTGACCCCCTTGGCCCAGAAAACAAAGGGGCACCGATGTGCCAGACCGGGGTCGGCCAGCGAACTCCCTCCCGCAGCGCCGGCCTGCTGCCCCACCACCGCGCAGGGCCCACCTGCTCCCGGTGCCGCAGCCCCAGGCCCTCCAGCTGCCTGGCCTGCTCCTGCCTCGTGGCCTCCAGCTCCCGCTCGTGGGTCCGGCGCAGGCGCTCCAGCTCCCCAGTCAGGTGCCCCAGCAACTCGGCTCGCTGCGTCCTCTCCTGCACAAAGGGGGCCCGCCAGTAGGAAACCGCAGCCCCTCACCCCTGCCGCCTCAGGTCAGTAAGGTCAGGGACCTGCCAGTGCCCCAAGGCTCCCCCGGAGAGCAGAGTGGGCAGTGCGGTGAGGAAATGCCTGGGGAGCCTCCTACAGCTGCTGCCTCCCTCGGGGAAGAGGCCGTTAGTAAGCTCCCCCTTCCCCGCAGGTCAGGGCTGGTTTGGGAAGGGAGTCAGGTCCGCCATGGCCCGCTGGTTCTGCCCAGGAATACGGCACAGAGAGTCTGGGATCCGGGGTCCCTGGAGCCGCAGCCTAGAAGTCCGGGCAGAGGCCCAGCCGTGGGCCACAGTCAGCCACGGCCACTGCCCACAGATAGTGCAAGCCACGCCAAGAGCGGCCGCTCAGGTAAACGACCTTCTCCACCCAGGCCAAGGCTGGAGATGGGCAGGTGACGTCTGCCAGCTGTTTGGCTCCTGCCAGGCTATTTCCTGGTGTCCTGGGTTCCCACAAGCCCTGGAGGCAGGGTCAGGGTGGCCACGGCTGAGGCTTTGGATCGGACAATCCAGGCTTGAACCCTCGCTCCTGCCTGTCAGCCACGGGTGGGGGAAAGTGGCTCACGCTCCCCAACTCTCCGTTTCCTCACTTCTGAAGTGGGGGTAATGGCAGCACATATCCAGGGGGTTGAGGGCGGAATGAGCTAATCTAGGCCAAGCACTGAGAATAGGCCTGGCAGGCGGCCCACACTCAATGCCAGTGCCATCGCCGCGAAGGCAAGGGCAGCCTGCCCAACGAGGGGTCCCTCCTCACTGATGGCCGAGGCACCATGGGACTTTGCCAGGGCGGGGCCAGGGAAGACAATCTCCCACAACACTCCCGGCCTCCCTTCCCCGGCCTCCAGCCAGCTGGCCAGCGCCGTGCCACCATGTGCCTGTGGGGAGGGCGTCACCTCGGCTTCATACTGCTCTCTGGCCTCCGCCGCGGCCTGCCGGTGCTCCTCCTTCATCTTGTCCATCCTCCTCTCGTGGTCCCGTTCCACCTCCCGGCGCTTCTCTCTCAGGAGGCCACTGAGCTGCAGGGCAGGCGGCAGGATACAATGGGGGACTGAAAGGGCAGCACGCAGCACCCCCCTAAGGCCCCCCACACACACAGGTGCAGGACACGTGATGGCCACACTTCCCACCGTCTCCCACATGCAGGGCATGGCATGCAGAAGCACTGCCTCGAGGGAACCGGGCTGTGAAACGGGAGCGAAGTGCCAAAGTGAGAAGGACCCTCTGGACCAGGGTGGCTCAGTGGTCAGAGCACCCACGACAGTACCCGAGCCAGGTGCAATAACACACGCACCTCCTGCTCGTACTCCTGCAGCTGGCGAGATCTCTGCTCCGCCCACCCCTGGCTCTCCTGCTGCTGGGCCTCCTCCTTCTGCTGAACTTCCTTTACCTCCTTCTGCAGGCTGGAGACCGCCTAGGAGGGCCCCGGGGGTGACTCAGAGGGACTGGAGTGGCCAGGGGACCCACTTCCCAGGGACCCGGTGCCCCTCCCACAGGCTGCAGCGGGAGAGGCTGCCTCCCTTGTGCGGCCACAAGGGTCTGAGCGTGCGCTCAGGGCCACAGCCCAGGCTCTGCCCGCAGGCCAGGCCCGGCCCCTACCTCTCTGTGCTTGGCCTCCAGGGAGGACAGGAGCCGCGCCAGCTCAGCCCTGTGCTCTGCCTCCAGCGCTGCTGCCGCCTGGGGAGCAACGAAGGGCAGTGAGGGATGCTGGGCAGAGAAGGCTGCTGGGCAGCGATCCAGACGCAGGAGGAGCCAGGCACACCAGCCTCAATGCCGCGAGCTCAGGGGCTGAGAGAGCCTTGGGCATGAATTCCTTCTGCCAATACAGCTCAGCCCCTGACGCCTGCAACCAGCCACAGACAGGCATGTGGGCAGTGTGGAGGGCACCGAGGTGGCCCCGGCCACTGCTGCCACCCTGCCTCTGGGCGCTCGGGGACACTCCCGCTGGGGAGCGCGGCCAGGCAGGGAGGCTGCAGGTTTCGGCCCCACGCCACCTGCTGGCCTCCTGGTCTCAGCTGAGGCTCCATCCCTCACGGAAAGGAAAGAGAACCCCTCAGCCTGGCCGTTCCTCACTCAGCCTCTCCCTGGGGACAGACCCTCACACCAGAGGGACGGAGGAAGAGCGAAGGACAACTTCCTGAGCTCATCGAAGGCAGGAGAAGGGGAGGGTGGAAGGTCACCGCATGTCCCCCAAGATAAAGACGGGGATGAGGCACAGGCGTCTCAGGACCTCTGCTCTGGCTGAAGTCCTTCCAGGGATGAAGTCTCCCCAAACCACAGCCATCTCCCCTCGAACTTCCTCCCAGCCGTGGCAGCACCCAGGCGCCAGGCCCAGCAGCCCCCCCGGAACCTCTGCCTCGGCTCCCTGCAGGGACCGGCCCAGCACCTGCCCAAGGCCAGCTGGGTCACGTGGAGCAACGGGCAGAGTCTGCACCCCATCTGTGCGGACCACACTCTCCGCCCAGCGCCCACCTGCGTGCCCAAGGCCGGCTCTCCCTTCGCACCCAGTCCCTCCCCAGGCAGCCCAGGCCGTGTGGTGCCCTCAGAGAGGAGGGTCCCGCTCTGCTTGCTCACCTCTTCCCTCTCCCCTTCCAGCTGCTCCCTCCGCTGCTGCCGGGCCTTCTCCTTCTCGGCATCCAGGGCAGCCTGCTCCCTCCTCTCCGCAGCCTCCATCTCTCCCCGGAGCCGCTCCAGCACGCGCCGGCTGCCCTGCTCCAAGCTGGCCCGCTCGGCCTCCTGCAGGGCCGCCAGCTCCTCTCTCAGCCTCTGCAGGGAGGCCTGGTGCTCCGCCCTGGGCAGGCGGAAGGGAGTGAGGAAGGAGCTGAGCCTCAGGGTGGCCGTGGGGGCTGGGCAGCTCCCCGTGGGCTCTCACCTGATCCGTTCCGCATCTGCCTCTGCGCTGGACTGGACCTGGGCCCGGAGCCGGGCCAGCCTCTGGCTCTCCTCCTCTCTCATCCGCGTGCCCTCCTCCTCAGTGGCCTTCTGCAGCTGCTCCTGCAGGAGCCTGGGGAGGAGAGGCAAGGCGAGGCTGCTGAAGGCCCATGGGCTCGGCCCTCTTCCAGCCATATCCCGGCTCTCAGCTCACAGGCCTGTGGCCTGCTGGGAAGTTTCTGAAATCTTACAGGGGCGCTGGCCCAGCCTCTGGTCCTGCTGCCTCCCTACACCTCCCAGGGGAGGGGGACGGTGAACTCCCCTGCCCTTTCCTCAGCAAGCAGATCACAGGCCGCCTGATCCCCAACCAGCGTTTCTCCCCGGCTCCCTCGGTTCGCCCCATCTGACCCTGGCCTGACCCTGGTCCACATCTCTCTCTCTGCTCCAGCCACTTCAATTGAGCCAGGGTGAGTGTTAGGCTTAGGGATAGGGCCTGCGTTAGGCTAGGTTTAGGGTTAGGTTTGAATTCTTAACTTCTCTAAATAAAGCGTGACCGTTCTTTATACACATTGTTAGCTCAGACAAAAAAATAAGTATCACTTCAGATGTTCTGTGCGGGAGGGTAAGATTTTGTTAAATTGCCAAGTACGTGAATTATATTAACCTCTTTCTATTTCACCTCTCCCAGCCTGGGACTGTGACAGACTGCTTATCAGCTCCTCAGCAGTCATTCTCCCACTTTTTTTTTTCTTCTAAATTAATCCTTATTGTTCATATTATTACAAATGTTCGTCATTTTCCCCCCCTCCACCAGGTTCCCACCCCACCCTCTACCCTTCCCCCACCCCCCATTGTCCTCATCCATAGGTGCACAGTTTATGTTCAGTCTCTTCCCGCATCCACCACTCCCCTTTTCCCCGAGAATTGTCAGTCCACTCCCCTCCCGTATCTCTCCCACTTTTCTTACTAACATGGTTCCTGTGGCTGGTCTGTCCAGAGGATACCCTCGTTTATTCTATTAGGTAAGGAGGCCCAGCTAAAGGACTACATTTCCCAGTCTCCTTTGCAACAGGGGTAACCAATGAGATTTAGGTGGAAATTATTGGGTAAGGTTTCCAGGAAAACTCCATTAATGGGACTGAATGAACTAGAAAGTACCCTCTTTATACTCTCCCCTGTCCTTCCAGCCTGGAGCACAGACGGGATGGCTAGAGAGCCAGCAGCTATGCTGGACTGAGAAGAGACCCAGAGAGTAAAACCAACACTAACGCGGCAGAGATGAAAGAAGACGGGGACCCAGGATGCCCCTGTGCCATCCCAGGACTGCCTTTTCTCACAAAAATCACCTCTAGCTCATTTATACTTATATAGTCAAACCTCATCTCCCACCTTCAACACTTCAGTTCTCGATCAAGTTGTTCACAGACAAAAAATATCTCGGTTGTCAACCAAAACTTCAGTTTTTGACCTGACAACCCTTTCATGCTGATACTCCGCCAAACAATAAGCAAAAGAGAGAATGCTTTTGTTGCTGGCCGATTAGCACCATTTTAAAACATAAAGAGGCGATCAAGAGGGCGAATGTTGCCTGGCCAGTGTGGCTCAATGGTTGAGCTTTGACCTATGAACCAGAAGGTCATAGCTCAATTCTAGTCAAGGCACATGCCCGATTGTGGGCTCAATCCTTAGTGTGGGGTGTGCAGAAGGCAGCCAATCAATGATTCTCTCCATCATTGATGTTTCTATCCATCTTGCCCTTCTTCTCGGAAATCAATAAAAATACTTTTTTTTTAAAAAAAGAGTGCTACTATTGCTAAGGGTGTGAAAGTACTCACAAAACAGCAATCACAGGCAATTGAAGAGATGGAAAAGCTGTTGTTGATCTGGATAAAGGAAAAGCAGGGAGGCCTGTGACAGCATTTCAGAGGCAGTGACAGATTAAAAATTCCTTTAAGGCTAGTAGGGAGTGGTTCGATGAATTTAAGAAATGTTTTATTTATAGACTAGAGGCCCAGTGCACGAAATCGTGCAGGGAGGGGGGGTCCTGAGCCCAGCATGCACCTTCTCCAATCTGGGACACCTCAGGGGGTGTCTGACTGCCGGATTAGGCCTAAACTGACAGTCGGACATCCCTCTCACATCCGGGACCACTGCTCACCTACCTGCCTGCCTGATTACCCCTAACTGCCTCTGCCTACCAGTCTGATTGCCCCTAACTGCCTTCCCCTGCCGGCCTGACAGCTCCTAACTGCCCCTTCCTCAGCTTTGTCCAGAAAAACATCCAGAAGATGTCCAGTCTAATTAGCATATTACCCTTTTATTAGTATAGATTAAACAGTACATTGGACATGTACTATGTATAAGAAAGGTGGAAACAGGGAATCAATCATTTGGGGGTCTGAAACAGGTTACTTCCATTTACGTTATTTCTAACGGGAAACGAGGATTCCATTTTCAAACAAATGGCTTCTCAAACAGCTTTCTGGAACGAGGTTCTACTGTACACACACACACACACACACACACACACACACACACACAGGCCTGGCCAGGCTTAAGGGTCTTATTTGTCTAAGGCAGTGGTCAGCAAACTCATTAGTCAACAGAGCCAAATATCAACAGTACAACGAATGAAATTTCTTTTGAGAGCCAAATTTTTGAAACCTAAACTATATAGGTAGGTACATTGTTATTAACTTAATTAGGGTCCTCCTAAGCTGGCCTTTGCTAAAAGCTCAAGGGGCCAAAGAGCCACACGTGACTTGAGAGCCACAGTTAGCCAACCACTGGTCTAGGGCCCCCCAGCCAGATGCGCAGAGAGCAGGAACCCAAACAGAAACCTGTGGGCCCTGGGCAAGAGCTTTCCACCAGCCAGGTCCCGCAGGCCCCAACTCCCCAGGAAGTAAGACCATGGGTTCAGAGATTAGCCTCTGGCTACTAGGAAGAGGCTCCGCTGTCTCAGCTTCCAGACCTGGGACAGCGGACTTCACCTACTGCTGCCTCCATTTCTTTCCCTACATTCCACATTCTATAAAACGGGGTGATAATAACACCTCGTAAGAGCTATTCGGAAGGCTAACAAAGGCATAGATATAAAGCACATGGAGCCGAGACCAGTTTGGCTCAATGGATAGAGCGTCGGCTTGGGAACTGAAGGGTCCTGGGTTCAATTCCGGTCAAGGGCATGTACCTTGGTTGTGGGCATATCCCCAGTAGGGGGTGTGCAAGAGGCAGCTGATCGATGACTCTCTCTCATCGATGTTTCTAACTATCTCTCTCCCTTCCTCTCTGTACAAAATCAATAAAATATATTTTAAAAAAATAAAAAAATAAAAACTCTGTCCTCTTTAAAAAAAAAATTAAAATTAAAAATAAAAAAATAAAGCACATGGAGCCCGGCTAGTGTGGCTCAGTGGTTTACCATCAACCTATGAACTAGGAGGTTACCGTTCGATTCCCGGTCAGGGCATATGCCTGGGTTGTGGGCTCCATTGCAGTAGGGGGCGTGCAGGAGGTCCCAGGTTGGATTCCGGTCAAGGGCATGTACCTTGGTTGCGGGCACATCCCCAGTGGAGGATGTGTAGGAGGCAGCTAATCAATGTTTCTCTCTCATCCATGTTTCTAACTCTCTGTCCCTCTCCCTTCCTCTCTGTGAAAAATCAATAGAATATACTTTTTAAATAAATAAATAAATAAAAATAAAGCACATGGGTCAGTGCAGTCTCTCAAAAGGTGCCAGCTATTTTTACGACCACACCTCCCAACTCCCCACCAAAGACAGGTGGCTCGGGAGCCCATTCCTCCACACAGGCCAGAGCAGGATCCTGGAGAGGCCGCAGGCACCCAGTGGGCCCCACAGGGAGGGCCCTGCAGCTTGTCTGGGGAGGGCGGTCCCGGCACCTCAGAGACTCCTCTTTCTGCTGTTGAAGCTGGCGCGCCTCCTCCTCCTCCTCCTGCTGCAGCCTCTGCCGCAGCTGCCGTAGCTTCTCCCGCCCCAAGTCCAGGAGCCGCCTCTGCTCTTGCTCCAGTTCCTGAGCCACCGCCTCCTCCAGGGCCTTCCGGGCGGCCTCTGGGCGCTGCTCCGGGAGAGCCACGAGCTCTGGAGATCGCCTACCAGGGGAGGGAACAGCAGTCAGTGTCATGCCGCCCGCCTTCGGCACCAGGCCGATAGAGCCACGGGCCATCACAGACCCTCATGCAGGGCCTCCATCAGGAACCACACATGCAATTGGGGTCCCCCAGGCGGGCAGGAGCTACGCCCTCAGAGGTGCAGGCAGCATCCGTTACACAGGACAAGCCCCACGTGGCCGGCTAAGGCCCCGAAGCCCAGGGGAAGGCAGCGCACAGCAGGCCTGTAGCAGACATGAGGCTCCCAAGCGGGCAGCAGAGGAGAAAGGGAAGCGCTGGCCCTGACGATTCCTCCCGCGTGGCCCAAGCCCGCCCTGTCCCTCCACTGGGGCTCCCGCAGTCAGTTTGGAAGTCCCCAGAGGCGGCTCTTTGCCTCTGAAACTGCACAGAGGCCAACGCATAGGAGCCAGGGGACGCAGCAGCATCCCTCCCAGAACAGTCCACGGAGGCCAGGGACAGGAAACCCCACCCCACTGCCCAGTGAGCCAGGCAGCGGACCACCCCTAAGCCAGAGAGAGAAGCAGAGCACAGCAGACGCCAGGCTCCAGAGCTCCGCACAAGGCCGCACATTCATCCACTGAGAGGAACCCATGTTTAAAAGTAGATCAGAGTCCTGGCTGGTGTGCCCAGTGGTTAGTGTCAGCTGCACACCAAAAGGGTCTCGGGTTTGATTCCAATCAAGAGCATGTACCTCGGTTGCAGGCTCAATCCCTGGCCCTGGTTGGGGCTCATGTAGGAGGCAACCAATCGATGTGTCTCTCACATCAATGTTTCTCTCTCCCCCTTCCTTCCACTCTAAAAAAAAAAAAATGGAAAAAAATCCTCAGGTGAGGAGTAACAACAACAAAGGGTAGAAGAAACTCAGAGCTAAGCCGGTGCATATGGTGGGTGGTAGGAAAGGACGAAGGCTATCGGTTACAAAGATGCCTACAGATTAACGAGGCTGCTTGTTGCTTGCACTCTGGTTCTGAAAGAAGTACCCAAAGAGAAACCCCAAGAGCATTCAGAACAACGAAAGCACAAGCGAGATAAAGTGTTCCGCCTCTCAGAGCCATTTTCCTAAAAGCCAGCACACGTTTGCATTCCCAGGTCCCTAAATCTCACGTTAGAAATTGCTCTTGCCACCCGACCACCACCTCCTCCCACAGTGCTCGGCCTGGCAGGGCCCCCTCCCCCCCCTCCATTTCCCCCCCGCCCCCCCCAACCACCTCAGCAGCATGTGGCTGGGGCCAAACCCAGGAGCAGGAGCCACTCCCCACCCTGCAGCGATGGAGGGCGGCCAGGCGGTTAGGGTGGCAGGTGACAACAGGCCTTTGGGACCATTTCCTCTCAGCCCGAGACCACAGAGAGAAGGCAGGCAGGACATCTGAAATACCATTACACCTTTCCTTCCTCCATCCCGAAATTATAGCTCGGACCAGAACCGGTCCCAAGCTCTGTCTTTAATTCTCTTCTGCTGCCAGCTCCACCCCCTCCCCCCAATGCCAGCTTCCTCCCAGGCCCCACGGCCCAGCAATGCAGATGTGAGCGAGGCGGCTGCCACCCCCCCTCCCCCAGCATCCTGCCCTTGAAAGAGCCTCCCCAGCTCTCCGCCTCATCAACCCTCCAACTCATTTCCAGCCTTGGCTGCAAACACGTTTTCCCTGAGATGGCGCCTGTGTGTGTCTCCCTTGGGCCGTGTAGCTACGTGGAACCCCGGGGACAGATGCTGCGGAAAGACGAGGCGTCCGACAGCACGCAGCCTGAGCCCGGCTGCACGCACCGGTGAGCTGGCTCACACGCGTGGGAGCGGGCACACCGCCTACTTCTTAGTGCGCCCTTCCCCGCGGCCCTGCTCTGCACATGTGCCACCCTGAACTCCCTCGGTCCAAGGCGGGCAGCACTGGCCCACAGGCAGACTCCTGCACGGAGAGGGGGGTGGAGCCTGCAGAGGGAAAGGCAGGTCTGTTTTCTAGGCCGCCCTCGGGCACCAGCCCCAGCGGTCCCTGCAGCACAGCCATGGCAGGCCGGCCTGAGCGAGGAGGAGGCAGGGCGGCGGCGGCGGGAAGAGGCGGGGGAGACACGGCACCCGGACCCTCTGGCACGGCCGAGCACCACTGGCACTGGGGTTGCAACCAGAGACACGTGTCCCCACACGGCACCCCGTGATTCGCCTCATGGAAGATGTGGGCGTGGCAAAGGGAAGAAGGTCCCGGCTGCCAGACCCGGGCCTGCCATGAAGCGTGCGTGGCGGTGACTGCTTGCGAGTCCAGCCCCCGCTCGCTGCCCGGCCCTCTGCTCCTGCCCCCTCTGACTCAGCGTGACATCCACGAAAGGTGGCAGGCTCTATTCCTCGTGTTCTTCAGCTTCTGTAAAAAGCTCGCTGATAAGAGAGGCTGCCCCTCCCAGGACTAGCCAGCTCTTACAGACAGTCCTGCATCCATTGCACACCACGGGTATCTTCCTCCCCTAAACCACCCAGAGCCCACCATAACCCAGGGCCACATTTCAAACCCCCCAACCCCGCACTTCAGGTACCCACCCCGCCTCATCCATTCCTTCCCACGAAAACCCCAATAAAGGTTCTGACCACGCCCTCCCTTCTCACCTCTCCTGCCTCCTGACCAGCCCGGTCCTTCCCCCTGCGGCCCGGGTGTGTGGCATGCCCCCTTCTCTGGAAATGTTAGCAACTCAGTCCTCTTTCGGAGCCACTGGCCTCTCCATGATGCCAGTCACCTCCGTGTATTAAAATTCCCAGGCTCGAATGAGGCACAGACTGCTCCCCACAAAACCGGGAAGGCCACCCCATCCTGACACGGCTGTGAGCAGTAAGGACAGGGAGTGCGGGGCCTGGGAAGACGCAGAGGGCAGAGGCGTGTCCCAAGGGCCCTGTGTGCACTGCTCCGGGCACGTGTCCCCGAGGCCCCAGCAGGGCAGCATCGCTGGGACGGTGCCCTGGCTGCCCTCACTGCCCAGCCTCTCTCCCAGAGGGGAAGGGACCACCTCTGACCTCTGACCTCTGACCTCTGCCCAGAGGGCCCCTTCTCTGAACCACTCGCCTCTGTCCCCAGGGAAAGCACCCTGACCCGGCTGTCCACAGCCACCGAGGCGGCCTGGGAGCGCCCCGTCACCCTCGGGGCAGAGCTGTTGCTGCGGCCGGTCAGCCCCTGAGAACAGGCCCCTCAGGACCTCGCTCCGCAGCGCGTGGTCTGCCTCGCCAGCGCCCGGGACACTATGGCGTGCCATCGCGATGGACAGTCCCTGCTCAGCAGCCAGCCCCGGGCCGAGGGCGAGGATGCTTCCGAACCACTCAGGCCCAGCCAGGCACACAGGTGCCTGGCCCTGCCTGTCCTTGCCGAGAACAGCAGAGGCCCCACGAAGCCAGACGTCCCAGTGGCTAGAATCTAGTTCTAATTCTGCAACCAACTAGCCATGTGCCCTGAGCCTTTACCTCCCTGAGCCTCGGTCTCCCCATCTGTAAAAGGGGTGGGAGGGGGGAGGTGAACTGGGCAGAGAAACCTAAATGATGTCTAAGTTGTGGTGAGCTTCAAACCACAAAGAGCCCTCTGCGTACCATCCAGCCCACTCACGGGCAGGAGGAGACTGGAAAGCCGGGTCTGCGGGCAGAGCCAGGCCGGGTGGCCCAGGAGGATAAGGGGGCGTAAGGGAACGGGATGCTCCCCGTGTGATCCGGGGGTGGGTCTGTGGTGCATACACGTGTCAACATTCATTGACTTGTACAACTCGGATGTACATAAATAGCTCCCAAAAACTTCTGCTTTTTTTCGAAATGGGCATTTTTCTCCCATTACAGAGGAAAGAGAAAACAGTGGGAGGGGAGGCGGGCTGAGAGGGTCAATGGGGGAAAGGGAGACCATGTGTAATGCTTTCAAAAACAAAAATAATAAAAAAAAGAATTTAAAAAATAAAAAAGAAATAGTGCTTGGCAAAGAGGAGAACATGACTTATCAGGTTTCTCCAATGACTCAGGAGGTGCCCCCTCCCCTGCACCCTTGCTCCCCAGGTCCGACAAGGGGAGTCCTGGGGACAGTGATGGCTCCTTGGGGTCTCAAGGCTGCTCACAGAACCAGGGTACACTCCCCACACACACCACCTTTGGGGGGTTGGAGCATCTTTCCCCATCACCCAAGAGTGGGTGGAAACAGCCCTGGCTGGTCTGGCTCAGTGGTTAGTGTCAGGCCATGGACCAAAGGGTCCCAGGTTCAATTCCTGGTCAAGGGCACATCTCAGTTGTGGGTTTGTCCTCAGGTGAGGATTAAAAAAAAAAATAAAAAAAAAAGAGTGGATGGGATCTACAGCTACCCACACATGATGGAGGACAGGCCCTTACCGCTCCGGAGAGATGGGCAGGGTGGGGCCAGCCACCACCTCCTCCTCCTCGGGCTCCTCGGCCTGGGAGCCCGGCGCCTCGTCACTCTTGCAGGCGGCAGGTGGACTGGGGCTTCCATCCCTTGATGGCAATAAAGAAGCACATGTGTTACAGCCAGCTGAAAAGCAGGGGCTCCAGTGGCACCCCATTCAGGGTCAGAGAGCTGTGATGGGGACAGGGAGGCAGCTCCAACAGTTTCCCTTCCTCGGTCTTAACGCTCCCTCTGTTCTCCGGCCTCTTCTGAGCTGTTTACAACAAAGAGCAGATGTGCCCTCCCACGTGGAGGCAGATGCTGACTGGGCCCAGGAAGTCTGCCTACAGCGGGTGCCCCATAGATTGGCAACCGAGCACGGGTGCTGCTAACTCCCCCAGGCTCACTGCGCAGGGTCTCCCCAGCAGACAGCACCAGCCCGGGTGTGCACCTCCGCTGGCCGCAGGGAAGCTGGGGTGGGACCCCTCCCTCGCCCGGCACACTACGGGGCCCACAGGGGTGCTTACCCCCCCCCCCCCCGCCCGCCCAAGGTGGGATGCCACTGGGTGGGAGGGGTTGCTGGGCGGAGACTAGGAGAAAGGGCCGCAGGGCAGGCCCAGCACAGCCCCCTAACAGGTAACAGCAGTCCCTGTCCAGCCCTGGTGGGGAGGCAGCTGGGTCAGAAGAGACCTGGCTCATTCAAGAGTTCCTAAGCTCCCCTAATCAGACGAGGCACCCCAATTTCAGCTGCAGATTGACTGCTCAGAAGAGACCAATTTCCTCACCCTCCGGCTTCAGGAGGGCCACTCACTGCCCCCCTTCTCCAGGCCCGTCACCCAGACCCTCAGCCCCACACACAAGCCCCCAGGCTGGCCGCCTTCCCGGGAGGCACACCACGCTTACCTGTGCAGGGACTCGGGCGGGAGGGGGCTGCGTGCAGAGTGCTCCGCGGGCGCCTGTGTCCCCCGCCGCTCAGGCTGCCCCTCAGGGGCCTGCAGAGGCCCTTTCCCGGTGGCCTGGCTGTGCCGGGGACTCCCAAGCCGCTCCCCGAACAGAAGTGCAGGGGAGACCCTGGTCAGACCAGCCAGAGAGGGGAGTCAGGAGGAGACTGGGGTGCAGCCTGGGTTCCAGGTTCACGGAGTGGGAGGGGCGGAGCAGAGCAGCTGGAGGAGCAGGAAGGGAGACTCCCTGCTGAGTGCTCCCATTCGGGACGGACCAGGGCCCTGCACTCTGCCCAGGAGCAGAGCGGCACCACCCTTGGGCGCAGAGGCTGCACGCTGGGCCAGGGAGGGAGGCAAGGACCCAGCAGAAAATAGGAAGGAAGGGGACAGCCAGATTCCAGTGGTCAGACTATCGGAAAGGCATGGGGCTCAGGCTTCAAGGAAGAATTCTGATGGTTTTTCAAGGTCCAAAATGTAGAATGGCTGCCCTCCCCTCCCAGGCGGCAGCCTTTATCTATCAGGGCTCAAGCCTGGGAGGCGGGAAGCCCCTCCCCAACACACACAGCCACGCCTGTTCTGCTGGGCGGGGCCCTGGTCCAGCTCTGAGCTGCCGAAGGGACCCTCCCGCATGACCCCAGGCTCCGCAGCTACTCCCGCGCCGGCCACAGCCAGACACAGCTCATCCCAGCAGCGACAGGCGGGCCGGCCCACGGTGCTGCCACGTGCAGGGTCAACCAGACACAGCAGCTCTTCACTCTCCTGTCCTGTGGAGTCACAGGTCTGCGCTCACCACACTCACGCTCACACACACACACACACACACACACAGTCACACACACTCACACACACACACACTCACACACACACTCACACTCACACACACTCATACACACACACACACTCACACACACTCACATACACTCACACACACACTCACACACACACACTCACACTCACACACACACTCACACACACACTCACACACACACACACGCTCACACACACGCTCACACACACACTCACACTCACACTCACACACACACACACTCACACACACACACAAGTATATACACTCATTCTCTCACACACGCACTCATACATACACTTACACAAGCATATACACTCACTCATACACACACTCTTATACACACCCTCACAGTTACACAAGCACATTCACTCATCCTCACACACACTTACACAAGCAAATACACTCACTCATACATTCACTCTTACACAAGCATATATACTCACTCATTCTCTCACACACACTCACACTCTTACACAAGCATATGCACTCATCATACACACACTCTCTCACACACACACACACTTACACAAGCACATATACACACACACTCACACACACACACAAGCACTCACACACACACTCACACTCACACACACACACACAAGCACATACACACACACTCTCTCACCCCCCCACGCACACACACACACAAGCACTCACACACACACCCTCTCTCACACACACACACACACACTTACACAAGCACATACACACACTCTCTCACCCCCCTCACACACACACACCCTCTCTCACACACACACACTTTGCCAGGCCATCCTGTCGGCTCCCACGCGCCTTCAGGCAGGAGCACCTGAGCCACGGGACCAGCACACATCCCAGAGTTCCCTGCGGCGCCTCCCACAGCCGTACCTCTCGGAGCCGAGGGAGGGCTCGCTCTGCAGCTCCTCGTGGCTGGACTGGCTGTTGTCCTGGCCTCCTCCCGGCCTCTGGGCCTGCGGGCAGCAGCGGCGAAGTGCACAGTGGAGGGTCTGGATGTGGACCCCTCCACCCTCCCTGCCTGCCGTGCTCGGGGGAAGCAGTGAGAGTGGCTCCTTGGTGGTGAGGACCCCTCGGGATGCAGTGGAAGCGGCCTGTCTACTGTCCAGTCAAGCCCCTGGGCTCTGGCTAAGTCCCGGCTCCCAGCTGCTCCCAGGGCCGGCCGGGCTGGCTGGGGAGGGCGAGCCAGACACCACAGCCGCTGCCCCAGAACCAGAGCCGGGGCTGCGGGAAGACACGGAGGGGGAAAGCCTGCCCCTGCCGCCGGACGTGTTCGCTGTGGGTGAAGGAGAGATCTGTGAACCCCGTGTCCTGGGGCCGGACCTCCCGTGCCAGTGACACCAAGGACACTGAGATGGCACGGCTGAGGGAACACACAGCTGCCCCCGAGGGGAAAGACAAGAGAGCTGCGCCCAGACAGAAAGACAGGAAGACAGGAAGGGAGCCTGACGGGGCTCCGTCACTCCGTCCACACAGCTCCCATCAGCGGCCCCGAGGCCACTTCGGGGTCAAGGATGCACCATCTATCAAACACCCAACAATCTACCTGGATGGAACTGGAGAACATCATGCTGAGTGAAATAAGCCAGTCAATGAAAGAGAAACACCACATAACCTCACTCATTTGTGGATAATAAAGAACATTATAAACTGATGAACCAAAAGATAGATACTGAGACAGTAAAGCAACAAGCAGACTGTCAAATTACAGCGGGGAAGGGAGGGAGATCTGAGGGAGATAAGAGATCAACCGAAGGACTTGTATGCATGCATGTAAGTACAACCAATGGACACAGAACTCTGGGGAGGGAGGGTACGTATGGGAGGGGGGTCAATGTTAAAATATGTACACAGATAATAATTTAATTTTAAAAATTAAAAAAAAAAAAACAATCTCGTCATAAAGCCCGAGGATATTTTCCCATCGATTTTTAGGGAGAGTGGAAGACAGAGGGTAAGTCAGAAACATCGATATGAAAGAAACACATCGAATGGTTGCCTCCTGCACGCACCCCGACAGGGCCCGGGCCGGCAATGAGCCTGCAGCCAAGGCCCTTGACCAGAATCAGACCGGAACCCTTTGGTCCGCAGGCCAATGCCCTATCCACTGAGCCACACCAGCTAAGTCACTTTTGTAACTTGTCATAAAATTCATCATGTTTATAACTGATCATAATCATCATCTTGAATATGGTGCCGGGCTTGGCACGCATTCACTAGATTCACATCAAGCCTCTTGTTCGTTTCACCCAACAAGTGTCCATTTCAAACCAAATGCCCCGCAAACCTGTGGAGTCCGTGGCCAGATCCTCTCTTCTGTTAACCAACAGAGGAGGAAAAGGGCCTGCTTGTCTTCCTTGGAAATGGACCCACAGGACCCTTCCTGACTCAGTGATGCCACACACACACACACACACACACACACACCCATGCCCAGCCTCCGGACTCCTAGAGGGAGGCCTGTAATTTTCCCGCCAAAGCCCAGAGGCAATGCTCTCGTAGGCAATGCACTCGGCAGGACCAGTCAGAAAGCTAAGCATGTTTGAAATTTACATGCTAATTTTTACATTCTTTGTGCCATTTTCTCCTCATAACACAGCTCCGTAAGGACAGGACTTGTGTCTGAGTCGTCCTGGTACCTGCTCTGGAGCAGACATCACCGCGCCCACACAGAGCTTCTGTCTGACAGGGAGACAAAGGACCTTCGAACAAACGAACAAACGCAGCACTAAGAGGGGGGAAGGGAGGGGCTGCTGCCTCCGGCCTGGAGGAGACCGGAAAGGCCTGGGCAGGGGAAGGAGCAGGAGGCAGAGCAGGGAGGGGAGAGAGGGCGCAGCTGGAGCCCACAGGGAGGCTGAGGATAAGGCGGCCACGGCTGCACGGGCCCGGCTGGGAAGCACCGTGGAATCCACAATCCATGCAGCACTCTGCACCTGAGCAGTGGGCAACCCTCGGGCTAAACGATGGGTAAGCGGGTAAATGCGGTGGCTGGGGCGGGGTCGGAGGGGGGACGGGGACGAGGGCCTCGATTCGCACAGCACAGTGAAGGAGTGGTCAGAAGCTCGCCTCAGGGCCAGGCCTCAAGGACTCCAGAGGGAGGAAGCTCCCGTAAATGCGTGCTGGGATGGGCAGGGCTCAGCTCTGGGCTACCCCAAAAAGGGAGACCCAGGCCATCACCCAGAGACTCACCGCCCAGTGGGCTCTGTCCGGGACCGGGAAAAGCAGGTCCATGTCCAGCAGCTGCTCGGAGATCCGGCCGCAAAAACCGAAGTCCTGGAGACGGGGAGGGGGAGGAGGTCAACGCTGCCCTCACACCGGCCCTCACCGCCTTCCAGGGGGAACCTGCCGCACGCCAGGCACTGCACTCAACATTCTGACACCTAATTAATCTTCAAAACAGCACGTGAGCAGACGGAAAGAGGTGGCCAGGCAAGCCTGCTCGCACGTTCGCTGTGGACCACGGTGGTGTGTGCGTAGTCACGTTAAAGGCTCTTGATGGCTGTGTGCTGGACATTGCTCGTAGAAATTGACGAGGAAAGAGCCCTCTGGAGCAGTACTCCTATCGCACCTCCCGGCGAGAAAGAGCTGACAGCAAGTGTCACTTCCCCAAGGCCGCGCTGCTGACAGACCGGGGCTGCGGGCAGATGTGCCCGCGACAGACTCCAAAGCCCAGGCTCTTGGCACAATGCCTGCCACAAAGCTTGTCCCCTCCCCGCTGTGCCGAACTGAAGCGCCCGAAGACAGTGTGCCGGTCGGAAAGGCGTGCAGGCTCCTCACGTCCAGTGCCTCCGAACCACCAGCTTCTCGCTGGGCAGTACCCGGCGGCCAGGTAACCATGCCGCCGCCCTCCACACCTGAGAGCCCACTGGGCAAGGTGAGGGCCTGCTACCTGGCAGCATGTTCTGGCCCTGCAGCCGTGCTGTCCTCCAGGCACCCCCTCGGAGAAGAGGACGGTGGGCACCGGCTCCACAGTGGCCCCTCGGAAGGGCAGAGCCCATCGAAGAGCCCCGAGCATGGCCTCCTTCCCGGCGCCTTTGCCAGCAGGGGCTCTGTGCCTCGCTTCCTGGCTTATGAGTTCCTTTTGGGTGACATTTCCTTTCAGAGTGAGTTCTACTCCACTCCATGCAGCTCCACTGCCTCCTTAGCCCAGGCCCGGGAAGGGGCGGGAGCACACACCTCCTGCCTCCTCTGCACCCTCCTCCATGAGCCCCGCCCCTTGGACCACCTCCTCCAATCAGGGAGCGCGGCGTCCAGAGGCAATGCTTGGCCCAGACGCATCCCGAAGCACGCCCCTCCGAGACGCAGGCCTGGAAGGAAGCAGGATGCCAGGGGCTGTGGAAAGGGCTGGGACAAGGAAACCATGGAGGCTGGCATTCCAGGACAATGTCCTGACTTTAGAGATGAGACCCCAGCACCCCCCTGGCCACAGCCTGAGTCGGTCCTCGCCATCGCTCAGTGATCACACGCACGCACGCACGCACACACACACACACGCACGCACGCACGCACGCACGCACAGCCTGTGGCCGCCTGGATCCAGGTGACATTCCTGCAGAGCCCAGAGGCACTGACCACGTAGGACCTCAGGGCATTCACACGGCAGCCATGGCAACAACAGCGGCCTTTCTTTACGGTTTATGTGCTGAGGGTTCCCTTGACCTAATTTCTTCTCATGACAAACTATACAGCAGGCAGTATTATCCTCAGTGAGGGCCAGGGATAGGTGTGATGAGAGGCAGACACTTGGCACCGTGACCCGCGAACGCATGCTTCCTCCCAGCCCCTGCTCCCTCCTCTGACTCACCAGGCCCAGGAGGGACTTGGAGTCGGAGGCATCGGAGTCTGAGCCCTGTAGCTCCTTCATGTGTTCACTGATCTCCTGCGCCTGGGGAGACAGACCACAGTCACCAGAGCAGAAGGCAGGGGTCATGACCCTGGGACACAGACCCACAGACGGTCACCGGGACAGAAGGCAGGGGTCATGACCCTGGGACACAGACCCACTCCAGTCACCGGGACAGAGGGCAGGGTCATGACCCTGGGACACAGACCCACACCAGTCACCGGGACAGAGGGCGGGGTCATGACCCTGGGACACAGACCCACACCAGTCACCAGGACAGAGGGCGGGGTCATGACCCTGGGACACAGACCCACACCAGTCACCGGGACAGAGGGCGGGGTCATGACCCTGGGACACAGACCCACAGACGGTCACTGGGTCAGAGGGCAGGGGTCATGACCCTGGGACACAGACCCACACCAGTCCCGGGGACAGAGGGCAGGGTCATGACCCTGGGACACAGACCCACAGACAGTCACCAGGACAGAGGGCAGGGGTCATGACCCTGGGACACAGACCCACTCCAGTCACCGGGACAGAGGGCAGGGGGTCTTGATCACTACCCAGGGAGCTCTGTCAGGCCAGGATGCCAACATGAGGCTGAGCCCAAACTAGAGCCCGCCTTTTCTAGAAAACCGAGAGGCCTAAGACCCTCCCATTCTCTCTGGACACAGCCCCCAGCCCCCTGCCCCTCAGGTTGGCAGCCCAGCTGAGTACGGAGTAGAAGGGTTTGCAAGCCAAGGAGAGCCAGCAAGTGCAGTGGGCATGGCTAGAAAGGTGGCCTAGGGCAGTTGATGCTGTCCGGAAACACACACAGCATGAGTGTCCTTTCCAGGAATCATTAAAAGCTCCTTAAATGAATTCCCCCACCATCACCTGGAGGAGCAGGACTAAGGGCTGGAAAACGCCCACGGCTCTCCCCCAGGGCTGGCTTCTGTCCATCGGGCCTTTGGCCGGGTCTTGGATTGGCGCACAAAGAGCCACAGAAACCAATGACCTAACTGCCCGGGGCTGAGCAGGAGCCCCACCTGCCCTGCCCTTTCGGGGTTCTCCTCTCTGCAGGAACTCAGATTGCTGCAACCAAGGCCAATCCCAACATGAAGGCACGAAGCAGCAGGGGAGCCCGGCCTGCCAGGCTCAGCAGTTGAGCACTGACCCAGGAACCAAGGGGTCGCTGGTTCGATTCCGGTCAGGGCACTCGCCCAGGTGCCCAGGTTGCGGGCTCCATCCCCAGTAGAGAGATGTACATGAAGCAGCCAATCAATGATTCTCTCTCATCACTGATATTTCTATCTCTCTCCCCTCTCTCTTGCTCTCTCTCTAAAAATCAATAAAAATATATTTAAAAAAAAAAAAAAAAGTAGCAGGGGAGGCGGTAATGGGAAGAGGAAGGAAGTAGACAGAAGACGTGGCAATCCCAGAAGGCTCCCAATGGGAAGGCAAGCGTCTGCTCCGAATTTCCTTCAGGACGCCTGCCACTGAGTGGCCTGCTTCCCACACGGAGGCCCCTGGCTGATGCCCCTCCCCCCATCCCCACCCCCCCCCACCCCGCAGGCCCGCAGAGGGAGCGCCCGCCTCTGCGACAGGTCAGGGTGCGGGAGCAGCAGAGGCTCCAGGACGCCGTGGGACACTCACGTCGCTGCTGTCTGACTCGCTCTCTCCCGGGACAGGGACCTCCTCCTCCGGCTCTGCTGCGGCCTCCCCCGCTGCAGCCGGGTCCTGGGGGGCGTCTCTCTTACAGGACGTGGCGGGCTGGTCGCCCCCGGGGCCCACGGGACTCGTGGCCGTCATCGCAGGGTCACTCTTGTGATTCTTGTCTCTTCCCGGGAGCCGGGCGCTCGCTCCTCCTCCCCGTGGCCCTCTGCTGCCTGCGCTGGCCAGGCTGCTGTCTGCACCTCGGCCGGAGAGCCTGTTGTGAGTCGGGGGGCTGGCGGCCCCCGAGTCAGGAGAGAGGGCCTTCTCCTCGGGCTGGCTTGTTCCTGGAGACTCCTGGGGAGACTCCTGGGTCATGTCAGAAAGGAAACAGCAGGAGTTAGTAAAGCGTTCGGAGGCTTGCTGCAAGTCGGGTCTCCGCAACCCCTAGGCCAGTGCTCCAGTGCTGACACCTGTGGTTATCAAGCACCCCCTCCCAAAGCTTTGGGGAACACAGACTCCTGGCTCCCAGACCCGCTGACTCTGAATGCCCTGGTGACGCGGGGATGCCCCACCAGACACCAACCCGGAGGAGCAGGGACACCGCTGCCGGGAGGCCCGCCGCCCTCCACCTGCCACGTCCTCGAGGCAGGAGCCTCTCATTCCAGCCCCGAGGGACAAATCGTGAGGTCACAGCCGGTCGGCATCTATTCACAATGACTGGACAGAGAACCACATGAAAAGCACCGGAGCCTAGGGTTCCTATTTCTCGTCTTTAAAAGGCAGCAGGGAGGACACCTTCCTCACAGCAGCAGGTGCAGCCTCCTCCAAGCCCCTGCACAGGCCTGGACGGGTCCTCGTGGGAGCACCCACTCAGGCTCTGAGCGCACGTGCCAGGATGGGGTGCCATCCATTTGGGGGGAAATGCTTGTGAAGTACAAAGGAGGGAGGAAAGCCTTTGAACACGGGTCTCAGACCTGCGACTGAGGAGTGGAAGGAGGACGCTTGAGGAGGAAGCCTCGGACCACAGCAGTTCTGAGGAATTTGTGTGTATAAGGGGTAGAGGGAGGAGCACATCAGGTAGAAATGTCCCAGTTCTAGGGCCTGCTGCACCCCATCAACTCCATCAGCAACACAGCCTGGCAGGAGCCACAGGGGAGCAAAGCCCAGGCCCTCTACCAGGGCCTCCGGAAAAATGACCATGGCAGCGACTCCACCACTGCTGCACCCTGATCACACACACCTCCCTTCACACCTGCTGCTCACACACACCTCCCTTCACACCTGCTGCTCACACACACCTCCCTTCACACCTGCTGCTCACACACACCTCCCTTCACACCTGCTGCTCACACACATCTCCCTTAACACCTGCTGCTCACACACACATCGCCTCACACCTGCTGCTCACATACCACCTTTCACACCTGCTGCTCACACCTCACCTCACACCAGCTGCTCACACACCACCCTTCACACCTACTGCTCACACACCTCACCTCACACCTGCTGCTCACACCTCACCTCACACCAGCTGCTCACACACCACCCTTCACACCTACTGCTCACACACCTCACCTCACACCTGCTGTTCACACATACCTCGCCTCACACCTGCTGCTCACACACACCTCACCTCACACCTGCTGATCATACACACCTCACCTCACACCTGCTGATCACACACACCTCACCTCACACCTGCTGCTCACACACACCTCCCTTCACACCTGCTGCTCACACACACCTCCCTTCACACCCTGCTGCTCACACACACCTCGCCTCACACCTGCTGCTCACATACAACTCACTTTGAAGACTAGGATACCTTTGGAGCTGAACTGGCCAAAATAAACACAGGGCCCCTTCCCTGCCCCAGAAATGCAGCCAGTGACCTCTCCTGAGCTCAGGCAGGGACACCTCCTCCCAGCAAATACCTGTGCCCACACCTGAGCTGCACATAACATCCGAGACCTCCCTGCCCCCATCACCCAAACAGGGGGCCTGACAACAGGCACAAGGAACAACCCCAGCACAGCATCCACTGACGCTGCCTGTCAGGGAGCTGCTTCACTCACAGCCAGGGCACTTGCCTGCAGGTCTGGCAGCCCACTGACCAGCTGCCCAGACATGCCAGGGCCCATTAGGAGAGGCAGAGAAGCGGACCAGCTCAGAGCTCAGCCTGAGGAGTCTGAAAATTAAATAAACTATTTGGAATCTGAGAGAGCAAAGAACCCCCAATCAGAAGAACAAATAGGGAAAAATAATCCAAAAATATGAAGATAGTATAAGGAGCCTCTGGGACAACTTCAAGTGTACCAACATTCGCATTATGGAGGTACTGAAAGGAGAACAAAGAGAGCAAGATATTGAAAACCTATTTGAAGAAATAATGACAAAGCTCTAGCTGGTTTGGCTCAGTGGATAGAACATTGGTCTGTGGACTAAAGGGTCCTGCTTTCAGTCCTGGTGAAGGGCACATGCCCAGGTTGTGCGCTCAATCCCCAGTAGGTGGAGTGCAGGAGGCAGCCAATCAATGATTTTTTCTCATCATTGATGTTTCTATCTCTCTCCTGCTCTCCCTTCCTCTTTGAAATCAATAAAAATATTTTTTTAAAGAAGAAAATGAAAAAAAGAATGACATAAAACTTCCCCTACCTGGAGAAAGAAATGGCTTATAAGTCCAGGAAGCCCAGAGAGTCCCAAGCAAGAGGTACCCCAAGAGGCCCACACCAAGACATATCATAATTAAAATGCCAAGGGTTAAAGAAAAAGGGAGAATCTTAAAAGCAGCAAAAGAAAAACAATTAGTTACCTACAAGGGAATGCCCATACAACTGTTAGCTGATGTCTCGACAGAAACGTTATGGCCAGAAGGCAGTGGCAAGAAATATTCAAAGTGATAAATAGCAGGAACCTACAACCAAGATTACTCTACCCAGCAAAGCTATTGTTTAGAATCGAAAGTCAGATAAAGAGCTTCAAAGGCAAGAAAAAGCTAAAGGAGTTCATCACCACCAAACTAGTGTTGCATGATATGTTGAAGAGTATTTTTTAACAAAAAGAAGAAGAGGGAAAAAAGATCAAAAATATAATCAATAAAATGGCAATAAATACATATCTATCAACAATTGAATCTAAAAATCTGACTCCTTTATAAAGTTCTTCCCTCCCTCTTGCCCTTCCCCATTTCCCCCCCTCCTCCCTCACTCTTTTACTCTTTTTACAGGCTAATTAAAAATCCTATGCTTTTCATCCTTAGTACTGACTGCTTTCCTCTCTGAGACCTGTAGCTGCCTCTGTTTGGGCACAGCATTGTCTGTTATAGTGTCCCAATTTGCATATTGATAGACCATCAGGTGCCCGTGTAGCAGGGGGACTTGTGTGAGGCTCGCTTCCCTGCCCCCAGCACCGAGTCCTCTTTTTCTCCCAGGTGCATGCGCCAGACAAACACCCCAGGACACCGCACCCATCCGAGAGCACTCTGCCCAGGGACGCCCCGAAGTGGAGGGAGCCGAGGGGTGACACCACACGGCAGAAGGCCGGTTCTCTGGGCAAGGTTGGCAAATGCCAACCAGGGGATGTGCACATTGGCAGTGACCCCCCAGGAGGGGTCACACATGCAAATCGAGAGAATATGGACCCAACACCACAAAGGAAAGGCTGGGATATGACAACAGAGTGCACAGGTGACCTCACACCACAGGGAAGCCGCCGTGGCTTTCTCCAGCCGTCCATTCATTCATCTGCCCGGTCCAACCAGGATAGGGGCTTGCAACCCCCACTTCAGCACTCAACGGGAGAAAAGCCTCACGTGCACATGAATGTACACGCAGTGCCCATAATGCAGCAGTGCCCACGACGGACGCCTCATCCCTCTCACAATCTGGCACCACTGGTTCCTAACCAGTTGCCTGCCTGCCTGCCTGCCTCATTGCCCCTAACTGCCTCTGCTTACCAGCCTTATCGCCCCTAACTGGTCCCCTGCCAGCATGATTGCCCCCTAACTGCCCCCCTTGCCGGCCTGCTTGCCTCTAACTGCCTCTGCCTTAGCCCCCACCACCGGTTGGACCCTCCCCCAACTCGGAGGGGGGAGGCGTGGGTTATGGTAGGCAAGACACAGCTGTGTCATCACTAGCCGGCGTGAGAGGGGCCCGAGTGCCAAACAGGCGGCTACAGGTCCCGGAGAAGAAAGCAGTCAGTACTAAGGACGAAAAGCATAGGATTTTTAATTAGCCTGTAAAAAGAGTAAACGAGGGAGGCAGTGGGGGCGGGGGGGGGGGGGGGAGATGATGGGGAAGAGGGCAAGAGGGAGGCAAGAACTTTTAAAGGAGTCAGTAGAGAACAGAGTTAAAGAAGGAAAGAGGATGTATGAGTGAACTGTAGGAGCTATAATGAAAATCAAGTATAGTAGTATATTGGGGACAGATTTTAAAAGTAGGAGTCAGAAAAGAAAAACGATAAATGATAGTGAATAATTAGGCAGGCAGGTAGATAGATATTAAAACAGTGGAAGTAAGTAGAGTGTATGGGAGAGAAAGAGGGAAGGAAGAAAAGTTTTAAAGGGGAGCCAATAGAGCTTAAAAGGAGAATGTGAAGAAGAAATGGGGGAGGGAGCAAAGCAGGTCCGAGGGAGGAAATGAAGAAAAAAATTAAGGTGGGAAGGAAGGAAAAAGGGAGGGAGGGTGGAGGTAAAGATAAAGGAAAGAAGGGATGTGGGGAGGGAGGGAAGGTAGGAGAAAGATGGGAAGAAGGATGATGGAACAGAAGTAGGAAATAAGGAGGAAAGAAAAGTTTATAAATGATTAGAGGCCCGGTGCACAAAATTGTGCACGGGGGGGGGGGGGGGGGTCCTTCAGCCCGGCCTGCACCCTCTCTAATTCAGGACCCCTTGGGGGATGTCCAACTGCCAGTTTAAGCCCAATCTCACAGGGATCAGGCCTAAACCAGCAGTCGGACACCCCTCTCACAATCTGGGACCACTGGTTCCTAACCACTTGCCTGCCTACCTGCCTCATTGTCCCTAACTGCCTCTGCTTACCAGCCTGATCGCCCCTAACTGGTCCCCTGCCAGCATGATTGCCCCCTAACTGCCCCCCTTGCCGGCCTGCTTGCCTCTAACTGCCTCTGCCTTAGCCCCTGCCAACGTGATTTTTGTCTGAAAGAATGTCTAGTCTAATTAGTATATTACCCTTTTATTAGTATAGATGAGTCAGTAGGAAAAAGTATTACATAAAGGAGAGAGAAAAATTGTGTGAGAGGGAGAAGCCAATAAAGAAGTCAAATATAATTGTGTATGAAGGGGATAAGATTTTTTTAAAAATTAATAGGGGTGACCTGGCCTGCAGGGGAGGATGGTTAGGGATGAC